GGTTTTAGTTTATCATAATAATCTTCTTGACAAGATAAATCGTCAAACAACTTTGATCTGAATAATTTTGAACTTTACTGACGAACAGTTAAAGATTATTTCCACTAACTCGAGATTATTCTGTAACATAGTTTCAAAAGGTAATATGTGCTCACGATTCGTTGAAGGGTGACTGTACCCTGATATTCATTAAATTGGACGTACCCCTGATATCTGTTTAATTAAATGTACTCTGATATTCATTCATTTGGATGTAACCTGATATCCATTAAATTGGACATACCCTGATATCTGATATCCATTAATTTGGATTTACCCTGATATCCATTCAATTGGATGTACCCTTGATATCCATTAAATAGGACGTACCCTGATATCCATTAAATTGGATGTACCCTGATATCCAATAAATTGGGTGTACCATGATGTCCATTAAATTGGATGTACCCTTGATATCCATTAAATTGGATGTACCCTGATATCCATTAAATTGGATGTACCATGATGTCCATTAAATTGGATGTACCCTTGATATCCATTAAATTGGACGTACCCTGATATCCATTAAATTGGATGTACCCTGATATCCAATAAATTGGATGTACCCATGATATCCACTAAATTGGATGTATTTTTTTTTTCAGGCAACTGATATCCTTTAAATGGGATGTAACCCGGATCTGTTAGGTAGCCTTGTTGTTTACTAAATTCAAATTAACTTATTTGCATTAATTGAACGTAACTGAAATTGGATGTTTATTAAAGTAATGTATAATAGATATTTAAAAAAAAAAAAAAGAGAGTGAGACGTATGAGTACAATAATTCAGTCGGTGTTATCGCTGTATAGCGATCTTTTCCATACTTCTATTACAATAATTAACCTTACATTTACTTGACAAAAACTTTCATTAAAATTTATTAACAAGGAAGGGATGTAGTGTTTGTATCTACGTACTAGATAGATACAATACGCTGTCTCACGTACACAAGTGATAGGCAGTCACGTGACGTCGTTACGAGTGGGACGAGTCAGTCGTACGGCAGACGCCGGCGAGTACGGACGTGCCGCAGTGAGACGCTTGGTGTGACGGTGAGCCAGTGTGCACATTTATTTTTACTGAATTGCACACGATAAATAACTCATAAACCAAAATAAACATCTTTGGTTTACCTGACATTATTTTAGTGTAACGAATTTTACCTAAGTTAATTTTGCTATGCGGAAAAATGAGGCGCTTTTATTTAGTTTTTTGTGATTTTCTCGAAAATATGGATGAACAAGGGTCCAAAAACTGAGTAATAATATCGCCCACATTGTCATCTATCATCTCTCATTCATGGTTTGTTAAAGATCGCCCAAGATGTCAACTAAAACACGCAGTTTTCATTTAAAAAAATACCTTTTAAAATTACGTCAAAATAGCCAAGCTAGAAGTTTTTTAGGCACTCATTTTAACACACAGATTAAGATAAAGGTATAAACTAATACATTATTAAGTACTAACATAAAACCAGTGAACGAAATTGGATATATTGACAATACAAACAGAAGTCAGAAAATCCATGATTTTGACTTTGTTCACTTTACGGTCGCACCACATAGCTATGATAGTAGATCATGACTTGATATTAATGATATTTGATAGAATGAAGTCTCATCTTTCAACTTATATGCAAATCAATCTTGTTTTAAGTAGTTGCATTTAAAGCACCATGTCCAACACCTTGTATGGGCTCGATCCACCGTGTGACGGTGAGCCAGTGTGCACATTTAGGTACACTACAGAGACCTTTACTAAAAAGCGGAAGACTGGGGGATTGCTTTGCCAACTGTGGGATGGTATAGCTCCCATAAACAGGTGGCAAAACATGACAGTTATAATTTAACAGGACTGGTATGGAAATCCTTAGAGGCCTTTATCCAGTAGTGGACGTCATATAGCTGAAAGGAACGAACAAACGCTAATTTCGAAATTCTTTAAAGTACAAAAAACTTCGCTCTGTGAAAGGAATTACAAATGTCACGTTTTCCCACTTATTTAGGAGGCAGGTCAGTTAAAAATTAAAAATGTAGGTTGTGTTAATGTGTTCTTACCATGAGTTCACTTTAGGTGTCCTCCCTAGCGATGTATGACAGATTGTACAGCGCCCCTAACGGCTACTTTCAAGAACTAAAATCTTCATAGATTTTTTGACGTACGTACTTGCTAGCACGCCTTACGTAAACTCATGGTAAGCACACTGATAAAGTATAGATTACGTTTACGACATTATAAATATGAAAAACTTACTTGTATAACACAAAAGCTAAGTTAGAAGCGAAGCAGTCAATATTAGTCGCTCGCCACGGCCTCTTCCTGTCGATGGCGTCGCCTCGTAGAGGAGACTCCGGTTTATACAGATGCATGTGTGTGAGGATCTTTAGCAGGGTCCCCGAGTGTGCGAACAGGAATATCGCGTGCGGGTCTCTTTTGTGACTGGAATCATAAAATAAAGTTAAGAATAAGAATAAATTTATTACTTAATAAAACTTAGCCTAGATACATTTGAATTCACTTACTTAAATTAAGGTTAGTGTGCGAAGGTAAAATTATTAATTATTTAGAAGTAAGTTATTCAGTGTGTGAGCTAAAGGGGTTCGTAAATTTCTCTATGGAAGCTGGTATATCCACATGCCGCCATTTATTTAGTTTGCCGCATGATCGCGCTCGGTTAAAGTGGTATAAATGGATGGATAGCTACAATGGTTCTATACCTTTTTAGACGTTCTGGAAGAATTTTAGAATACAGGTATAGTATTAAAAATATATTCAAACAGAGACCAGAATGGAGAAGTAATTAGTCAGGCCTATTTTGTCACGGTAATAATGACATCAGTTTATTATAGTAAATGCTATTGCCATAACTAATTTTCTAAGCAAACAGAGTCAAGGTTTAATATTTTTAATTTGTATATACCTGAAATTATCAAACATAGTTTTGATCGCCATACACGCTTGTCTGTAAGTCAGATCATGCCCATAGCCATCCATCCAATAATGTTTCAAATCATGATAATATTCCATCACCTGAAACAAAATTCAGAATTACCAAACTCCATGTACAGTCGCGGAATGAAAAGGTTCGTCACCTTAGTGTCGGTTTTCGCTTGCACTAGGTACTGTGAGAGTCAAACCTGCCAACATAACAGTGCAAGAAACAGTGCTGCTAAC